CCATGTCAAGGAAACCGCATACTGTGGCTGGTCACTGCCTGCACACCCACCTCTGCATCACTCCCGGGAGCAAACACCACACATCAGAAAGCGAGGAGACGTCTGCTGGAGCTGAAACCACTAATTCAGCAGGTCTCCACTAACAGCTTTTCACCTACGTGAAAATTTAAGGGAGATTTTCAAAGGCACCTAAGGGATTTGGGCGCACAAATCCACCCCAGCACGGCTCATGCTGCTAAGCAACAAAGACATCCAACTATATCCTCGGGAGAGCATGCTGGCCTCGTTAGAGCCAACGATGTATCTGCTGTTATAAAACTGGCACTACCATCACTGCCAGTCTTTGACAAGAGCACTTTGGTTCCCCAGCTTATCCTCAGTAACAAGTGCCCTGGTTCTACGAAGGGAACAGCACCCTTACTGCTCGCAGTCAGGCTCACCACGTACAGGTGGAGGACGCCTGGTGTGAAAAGAAGCCAGGAGACACCCAGCTCGGTAACAAAATGTCAGCCTGCCACAAAAATACCACCCAAACAGGAGTTTGAAAACTTTTTTAAAGACACCACCACTTTCCCTAGAGGTTGGGCCTGTAACACTGAACTACTCCATGAGTTCAGACTGTACATGGCACAGGAACTCTGAAGGTGCTTCACTTCAAACTTTTGCGCTCAATTTCCAAGACAGGCTGCAAGGCACATCCAAAACTTGACACGGAGCAGCCCGGGGGTGTTTAGCCCCAGGTACAGAGTTCCCACTACACTAGTGCTTGTGCCACAGCTGGGCAGCACCAGTCCTCCTGTTACACCTGTTTGCTGTAACACCAAATTAAAAGCATCCAAACACTTCCAAACAGCCACTGGCAAACATTTCAGGTGTCTTACGTACGTTCCCCTTCCAGACTATGACTGTGCTTAGTGAATTTATTCAGACAAATGATGAATGAAATACTTTCAAACAGAACGACAGTGAGCAGCCTCCAGCTGTTGAACAGCGGTCCGTGCCACAAGCCAAACCACCTGCTCGGGGCTGCAGGGAAGGCACAAAGGCTGGAAGCACCCACAGCACAGATTGCTACCCTGGTAATTCTTTTGTTACCTATTTTTAGCTTTAATCTTAGGACACCTATTGATGGCGAAAGCAATTAGCAAGCAGAGACTAACATCCTGCGTTCTTTTAAAAATAGCAAAGCACGCAGAAAAGACTTAGTCAAGCACATGATGTGAACATGACAGCCTTAGCCTCCAGAGAAATCACGTGGCTAAATACACCAGACCTATATAAAGAATCGTGTAGGTGACTCAAAGAGTTTTCCAACAAGTGCAGGGTCCTAATCATGAGGGATGTTTAAGGGCTTTAATAGAAGTACCTCTATGAAAAATTTTAATCTTCTCTTTAATGTGCTCATGCCAGTCCTCGACACACACACATTTCACCAAGAAGCAGCACTAAAACCACTGTGACTCCTAGGTGACTTACACAATTCACACATCAGCATGCAAGAGTTGTTCCCAGCTGTGTCACTCGCGTACGGAACCACACCACGGTTTGCGATTACCACCATGATAACCCTGAGCCTCAGGAGCATGTTATCGCATCCAGCACACCGCCAGCGCTGAGAACTGCTGGTCCACGGGACAACCGGAACACCGCTGGGCTGACACCGCCGGCTTGGCGCTTCAAAACGGGCAAAACCCAACTAATTAGAACAAAACTGCCTAAAACCACATCAAATGGAACCATCTTGTCTGTCTGCTAACACTCAGCAGGTCTGAAGATCTGGGATTTAGGTAACTTTTTTAAATTTTGGTAAAAAGTACTTCAAAGAGTCTTTGACATATCCTGTTCTTACACCACACCTTCAATAGATACAGCAAAGGTTGCAGAAACCATGTTCAGACACACCAGCTCCCCTCTCAAAGGACTCCATTACCTAGAACGGGAAGACAGTAATACAATTTCTTAGTATATTCACAAGAAATTAAGAGGGATGTGGGGAAGAGAGAACTGGAAAAGAGGTCTGCTTTTGTTAACAGAAAGAAAAAGGAATACTTTAGCTGTGCATTCCTTGTTGCTGTTGAATTAAAAAATCGATATAATACAAAGAAGCGTACTCTAGAACAAACCCTTAAATGGATCCCTTCAGATAACTGAAATTTTTTTTGGATGCACACAATATTGTGTTAGAAAAATATGACCTGAAAGTATCCAGTATTCAAAGTACCTGTTGTATCCCAGACATCCTCTGGAAAAGTCCATCTGTAAAACTAAAACACGTTATCACTGCTTCATTTAGATGCAGTGGACTTGTGCTTCTAAAATCTACAGGCATAAAAAAATACAGAAGGAAGTGCTTTTAAAAACATTTGCTTCAGGAAGACAAAGAAATCACGTCTCTGCTGCTGCAGCAAACATTACTGGAAACAGCACTACTGCTACTCCTGGGAGGAATTAGCCTGGAGAGCTGCAATTAGAGAGATTAAAAAAAAAAAAAAATGCTAATTGACATACTCATTTTCCAGTCAGAAATCCAATTTTAATTCAGCTTGTCTATACTCAAAGCAATGATACTCCTATAGGCATAGGAGCAAAACTATCCATTTCAATGTTATATAATTGGGATATATCATAAGAAAATTGGTCCAGAACAGCAAAGAGGAAAGTAGCAAGTTCCCAATATTGACCAAAATTTACACATAAACATACTTTTTTTCCATACCACAAATTGAATAATTTGGATTGAAATCTTTCCTACTATTTTTATTTAAAGAGTTGACTGAGCAAGCACGAGAGTCATTAGGTTCAACTCTGGCTCTCTCGTGTCAAGAGTGGCCAGTGTTAGTCCCTCACTTTCCTGCGTAAGTGTTGGAGGGGGAAAAAAATCCAAACCAACCACCAATACAACAGTTTCCAAATTGCACAAAATGTTTATTGTTAGTCTAGTACATTCAATATCATATTGACTAGAATACAGTAATTAAAAATATTTTTGGCGAATTGAAATTTTTTAAAAATCATTTCAAACGCTCCAAAAAGCAATGCCATGAAAAATTAACTTAAAACAAACATATCCAAGCAATAGTTTCACTTTTGACTACAGAAAACCCTTACATGTATTTTAGTGGTTTTAACAGTACTGCATTTAAACAAAATATATGAACTCACAAAAAGTGGAAAATATTAAAATAGACACCATGTTAAAAAACTGAGGCATCCAGATGTGTGAGACTGTTGTACTAGGAATCACCTGCCCACTTGTTCCCTTTGTTCTCTTTTGGGGCAGTCAACCAGTCCGCTGCAGCGGTGCTGTTTCTCCCATCACCTGCTAACACCCTACAGCAATTCTTCTTCAATGCCTTGAATTTAAATTTTGTCCCTCTTGTAAATTCCGTATACAAACGTATATATTCTAAAACATGCCACCCACTGGCAAATCTAGGTGCAATATTAAACGGTACCTTGAAAAACTTTCCTATCTTGCTACTTATTGTTTGCAGACAGGCAATATCCAGAACAAAATCTGAAAAAGGCAACACGTTTTGGTTTTGTTTTTAAATACTGACATGAAAAACTGAGTAAATTAGAAAAAGGATAAAGTCAATCTTAATATAAGACATTCATTATATAGTGGGACAGGATACAATTATCGGGCAACATATCGGACAATGACTCTTCTACATCTGGTCACTGAATGCACGTGTTCTACAGTCATGACTTGCTACCACACTTGGATTTCCTGAACAGAAAGACAGCAACACAATTAAAGACCAGTTTTACTCTGTGTTCAGTCCCAGAATGACAACTGACACCATACAAGTTCTCCAAGCTCTCCTCCCTGAAAGGCTGTGCTTGTTTAGGACCAAAAGCCATGAATTCAAAGTGGTCAGCAATTGCTCTGGACCTGCTGCTCTGCCCAGGTTTTCCCAACAAAATGACCCCAATGCAAATTGGTGGGAACAATTTAAATCCCTTTGAAAACACAACCTTAATATTACAGCACCGTACGTGTACACGTATCCTGGAGAAAGGACTGACTCTCTAGTTTGGATAGGGGCGTATCAGCTGTCCACCTGCCTTAACACTTCCAGCCCTGGGGAAGTCAGCTTCCATCCGCACTGCTGCCTGGCTGGGCAGCACGGAGCCGATTTGGGAATCTTGAGGAGAAAGATCACACGAACTATTTCTTTGAGAAGCACTTCATTTCCATCACGGATAAAGCCAATTTAAGGTGCTGTTTAAGTGGTACTATAGATGAGCAGAATACTGTCGTGTTAAAACTCAGCAGAATCACATCTAGGTTTTAGGTTTTTAAAAGTGGTTATTACCATTACACTGTAATACAACCTTTGGAAGAGGTACAACGTTTGCTCGTCAGTACAGCGTGCGGAACGTAACCATTTCTTGCAAGATTTTGCAACATGAGTAACTGCATAGATGACAGTTGTGTGTTTTCAGTTCAATAAATGTACTTTTAAAGTTTACAAAAAACACAAAAAGGTTCTATAAAAGTCACATTATATCAAGATAATGGGTGGTAAAAGTAGATTATTTGTCTGTGATTCATGTTTAATAAATGACTAGTGGAAAGGTGATAGAAACCAATCTCAAAACAGTTACATTTTCACTATTGCACTGACTTCACCATTTGAGTCACTAATTTAGAAAAATTCACATAGTTAAAAATTGTAAAATTAAACTAGAATACAAAATTTATTTGTAAACATCAGGTAGCCGGTTCTACTAACATGGAATGGACTCTTGGTACTGCAGTACAGTATCTTGGTTATTTACAGCACTTGCCATATGTCGGGCAATTGCAGGACACACACGACACCAGTTCACAGTAATTGTGTTCAGAGAACTACCAAAGTCAGTGCAGTTTTTCTGTGCAATTTTCTAATTTCCCCGAATTCCTTAAGTCAAATAATACTGTTACAGAGGCCAAGTGCAGATTTTTTTTTTTTATATAGATATATATTTATCTATATCTATCTCTCTCCGTCTCACAAGTGACGAATTATGTCTGCAGGACTTCTGTAAAGGTACTTCCAAATGGCATAGTAATGAACAGCAGCTGCTGTGGCCACAAACATGTGCCAGATGGCATGGGCAAACGGAATGACTCCATCGCTCTTGAAGAACACCACGCCCAGACAGTAGATCAAGCCTCCCCAGGCAACCTCCTGAAGTCCATCGGTGTTGCTCTGTCAATCAGCAAGGAAAGATTAGGGATGGGGTGTACAGGAGGGAAACAGTATTTTATGCACAAAATACAAGAAGAAAAGCAAGCTGGCTATCAGCTCGGAACATCTCGGATATGACAGATGGACAAGTGAGAAAACCAGCATATTTATGTTACACTTTCTAAAATATATAGTAATACATTTACACAACATGACTCAACAGCACTATAGAAATAATAGCTGGCTAACTGCAGAATTCAGGCACGTTTGATGTTCTGCCTCATGCTCATTAGCAGAGCAGACAAATAGGGAGGAAAAGAAACCACGTTACTGTGTGTAAGTGTGAGCTGCATGCAACTCCTACCAGTTGGATGAAGCATCCAGCAAGGTTTTGGTACAGCACAGCATTCACATGGAACAGTTAAGGCATTACCTTGCAGAGGTGTCAGATTTATATCAGCAGCAGAGAGAGCTATTTAAAGTTATTCATAACGTGTAACTATAAACAAATAACAGTCAAAGTTCTGAGGTGGACAAGACAGAGTAGGACGCTTTACAGATGCACCCAGAAACCTTTTTTTTAAAAACACCACCAAGTGCTGAGAGATCAGGTATCCCAGATACAGTGCATCAGTCTGATAAAATTCAACTACTTCTCAACATTTCAATTTTCCTCTGCTTCATTGATAAAAAGAAGCCTCTAGTAAGAGACAAAATGTTCTAGCTTTGCTGCCTCTAAGTAATTCTGAAAGGGGCAAAAGTCAATTTACTTCTTCCATCTTGATCCAGACCACAATATCAACTGACTAGATTTTTCCAGAGACCTCTTACATATACCAGGAAAAAGGAGTACATGTTATCAGAAGTCCATTCCGCTTTCCTAAAGAAAAAGCTTCTTTCCCAATTCATAAGCGGTAAGTGAGCATTAAGTAATTTCTAGAAACATTCCTTGACAGGCTAAGGTACTTCACATCTTTATCATTTTTACTAAAATGGAAGTAATTGAATAGTTACATCCAATGTCCTTTCAGAAGCAAAGTTTGGAACATAAGCTCTTTTCATCTAGACCCTGCAGCCCTTCAAGAAAACATGGTAGCATTGCACTGAATGTAAAGTATAAACCCCAAATATAACTGACTGTATTTGGTTCTTCTGCAGAGAACATTTACCAATTATGGTGGCCTAAAATTAACATCTTCTGAGAAGAAAAAGAGCTGCACTAGAACTTAAGCTAGTTATAAAAGGAAAGTTTTTGGGTTTGTAATGTTAATAGTCACATTCCTTACCATGGAAGTCACCACCAGAGCAGGAGAAAATCCCATTGCTAAATAGAAAAAGAGTTCAACGATCTTATACCTAAAAAGGAAGGATTTGAGTAATTTAAGAGGTGTACAAGAGGACGGAGATTTCCTTCAACAGTAAAAAAACCCACCAAACCAACTTTAAATTTTATGTTAGCATGGGTCCATTAAACTATCCGAAAAGCTTTCTACGCAGATAGATAACCATTGTTTTATGACAAAAATAAAGCGAGTATTTATCTCTGCATTGTACAGTTGCAGGTGATACCTTCTTCTCTAAATACGGCCTAGATGCATTCATTTGCATTAAGTACTAGTGAGAACAAAACATTGAGACAACTTATATTTTCTTCTTTAACAAGAATCTCAGTAGCTCATCTCCAAAACAAAAAAGCTGGGCCTTGCTCCCTGAGGATATGCAATGAAAGCAGGCTCAAGAATTCAGATCTGAAACTCACGGACTCACATCTCAAAACAAAACCAAGAAAGTAGCAGGAGTCAATGTGCATCAGTATATATAAACAATGTAATGTGGCAGCATAATCTATACACAATGCTATGTAAATTAGGGGCGTAAGAAAGTCATCATTTCAACTAGCTTCCTACCCTCCCCACTCTCATCCCTGCTTTCTTGTAGCAAAAGTTCGAGTTTTAAAAGTGGATACTTCCCTCCCACCTCTTTAAGAGAAGGCAACAATACACCCTAAGGATATGTTATGAGAGGGTGAATACAATTATCTTCCGACAATATGTAAGTCTGCCTCACTCTCATCACATATTTCCACTATTTCAAAGCTCTTATTTCAATGTGTGAAAGGCTAGATAGGAACACTCAGAAAGCAAGAAAGCCCCCACCCTTTAATTTCAGTTTAAAGTTAAATGCAAATCATAATTCTTACTTTTCATGGTAGAGAAATACGTAAATAGTTCCTCCAGCAGCCATCAGCCAGATAAACCAACGCATATGAGATGCTAGAGGTCCAAGCTCACGCAGATTTAACCTGGAGGTACAAAGATTTCAAGAGACAAAAGTGATGAATGAATGGACCGTACTGACACAAGAGTAGTAGGGCTTGATAAAAATAAATAAATATTCAGAGCAATAACTTAGGCATGATGATGGAGAAGACACTTGGGACATTCAGACAGAGAAGCAGAAGCTGTGTTTGCACTGATGTGAGGGAAGCATCAACTGAGGTATGTGGAATAAAAATAAATTACTTTTGCTGTTTTCTCATATTGCTTTATTTTCAGCAAATCTCAGGAAATTATATTATGTTGCATTTCACAATGCAGAATATGGTTAATTGCATCCAAGAAGATACCTATAGATTTTGGAAAGCTGCAATGATAAAACTATTTACATTGGAAAAAGCTTTAATTCTGAAGCTGTGCTTCCAATTTCTTACCATGGGGCATATGATGCCGCAATGAAGACATAGATCATCATTCTGTCACACATGTGGAAGCAATGCTCCATTGTCCTAGGAAGAGAGAGAACAAGTCACCCAGACAGATTTTGGAAATACTTTTCTAATCCAGAAACTGTTACTATCCAGCAACTACTGGTTAAATCCATTTTCTGGCCCAGAATTACATAGGAGTCACAATGCAGGAAAAAAACCCTCAAACCTAAAAATATTTTTTTTTTTTTTTTAAATAAATCACATCTTAGTTTTGCTATTGCTGCCTTGCTCCCAGGGAGGCTTTCTGCTAGTTAACTGTGTATTGTATTGTAATTTTCTTGGCAAGCTCTGTGTTCCTCTAAGTATTTGAGCATGCCATAGTCCCAGACAGTATTCTCATTTCTGCAATGGGATTACATCCACCATGCACTTAGATTAGGTTTTTCCCATTCAACTTCTGGATTAAGAGCCACTAGGGCCTAGAAAACCACATATTTCCCTTGGAAAAAAGCAGTAGACATTAAAATCCGTTTGTATGTGAGCTTGGTTCACTATTTCTTCCAAGAGAATCAAGGGTGTTTTTTCATGATTCAGTACAAGGTATCACTCCAGACTCCTGTAAAATCCTGGTTTTGACTGAGAAACACAACGGAAAAACATCGCAGAACATGAAAATGAAACACCTTATACATCTTACAGCGATACCTCAAATGACTCTTTTTCCAAGAAACGATATGAAATACTGTGGAGACGATGAAGAGCGCGCAGAGCCCCATGCCATACATCCATGCTGTTATCTTTTCCCATCGGTCGTCGGAAAGCCGGTGGAGAAGGGCACTACCCACAATCGCAGGAACAATGAGGAACTAAGAAAACAAAAGGCCATTGTTAAGTCTTTGCTTGCAGCCAAGGTAGCCACCACGAGCAGGGCAGCCAGACCGCAGCGTGCCGTGTAAGACAGTACATACGACATCCAATGGCATGCTCCGACCTGGAGCAAGTTTTCCATTTGGTTTTATGTTGTCACACCAGCGTCAAGACTTTGACAATGTCTCAGACACCTAGGTTACACCTGTTTGTGACACATTTATCCTCACATGGATGTGAGGCTAGGTTACTAGCTCCTCTAGCCATGACACAGACAAACAAAAGAATTTGCTAATCATAGCAGTGTTTTTATTTTCACATTCTGCTTTACATTTTAAAAAAGGTTTTGATGTTTCTCTGGGCTTGAACCTAAACCACCTCTTGTGCACAGAGGCAGAGCACACGACCGACCAAAATAAATTAAATCACAAATGAAAAAATAAAATATTTGGAAGTATGCAGTTAAGTAGAAGACAAGAAAATTCAGCAAAGGCTTTGCAGAACTTGGGGTTTAGATATCGTAAATTAGTTAGCTGCAAACTTCTTTTATGAATAGATTCTTAATGCCCAAAGATGATGTTCTTTTAATACAGTCTATTTTCCCTACCACTTCCCTCTCAAGCAGCTTTAATTTAGATCCTCTGAAACAACCACTGTTAGAACATCATGATGGAATTAGCACGCTCACATGAAGTATCTAAGAAGTGGAATGCAGACATCATATACACCCAATCGACACTCCTTTCCAGAATAAATTACATCCTGCACCTTTGTCTCATTCAGAAAACAAAACAAAACAAACTAGAGGAAAAAAAGGCAAAAAAAAAAAGTATGTCCAACAAGTGTTTAAAGAAAAGAACCTGCTGGCTCAGACATTTCTACCTGCCTCCTTCCACTATGAGGGCGTATCTTTGTCAGCCTTCTAAATTAAAAACGCTGCATGAGTTTCCTTCCAGTCCCTACGGTGTGTTTTAAGATGCTGATTTGTTCACTTGAATTGTAAAGAAGCTTCACAGGTTAAATCCCTCCTAGTTTTAACCCAAGTCCCACACGCTAAACAATAAAGCTAGGAGCAAGTAATGCTTAAATGAATCTGGCAACTCCGCTCTGCATTACAGGTCTGATAGCTCGGAGTGCAAAGTTCTGGTCTAGCCTGCACCGTCTTGCCCTTTATCTGCTTACAGACTAGAAGAAACTGAGGCTCTGATCACAGCTCCAGTGCAGAAAATGCAGAGCAGACTGAATGAATATGGAAAGTAGTTAGTTAATCCAGGGAGTTAAAAAAAAAAACAAACCTCAATGCAGCAATTACTTCTGGCTTTTGAAGTACATCAACTGTAGCTTTATTACTATTATATTTTCTTCCTTTTTGCAAAAGTTAGTACATTTACACCAAAAGCTGCAGAGCCATGGAAATGAAAAGTATAGCATTCCTATATCCACAGCATTTGGACCAGAGGTGAAAACACTGAGTTTTGTAATGAGACTATGGAAGTTGACCTCACGCACTTTAAGGCCAAAACCAGCCTGCCAGTCTGGCTTCTCACTTATCACAAAGCATAAATTTCCATATACATATCCTGGACAGCCCCAAATTCAAGCAAGGTTAAAGTATTTTACTCTTCAGCAGATTAGTCCCTCCTGTTTTCCACATATGGCATACAGATTAAAGTGTGGCTGAAGCCCTTGAGGCAGCAAGGGACTGATTAGAGGTGGCAGTTGTTTCATGTCGTTTTTGCAGGAGACAGGAAGACGCTAAGCTCCAGAAATAGTTTTTTAGCCAGGATTCTTTAAGCTGTGCAGTCATGCTGTATTCACATTCATCAGTTTCCTTCCTGACTTCTGGTGCAAGCTTCAGTTTTGCCTAAACTTGACCAAGAACCAAAAGGTTTCAGAGAGATTATGCACCCACAGGTACCATGAACGCAAGCACTAGGCAAAATAGCAAATCCCTGCTAATTCCCTACTAAAAGTCTGGGTGTGAGCTGCTCAGAGATTCTGGTTGAGACTGTTTTATAGGAAGGAAGATCTCACTGGAAACTAGATTTAGATACTACACAGAACAACTTGCCTTTCTTACACAGATAGCTCAGCTTTTTACTAGCCTACTACAAAAGTATTTCACAAGTGAAGCTACAACGTGTAACACTCACATGGGCCAACACAGAGTTTGCTGCCAATCACTTTTTCCAGTAATTACTGTATATAAAGTTACAGGGTTAAAACAAATGAGCAATTCCCTTATCATCATCTTCTTTTCACCTTCAGAATGAAGAACACAGCTCCAAATGAGCACATGGATGAAGAGCTGAATTAATCTGTTTTCTGCCTTGTCCTGGCTCTGAAGAACGACTCTACTTCTCACAGGGAACAGCACCATACTAACATGAGAAGGATTTATTGTTTTTTCTAAGTATTCTATTTGGAAACACTTTCCCTCTGTGCCTGATATGTATCATGGGAACAGTTAGACTAAACAAGAGATGTTTTATTACTCTTTTTCTGACCAAAAATAGCTAATTAAATACAAAATCCAGAAATGATACCCTGCTGTTGCAGCCAACTGGGTAAAAGTTCTTTAGATACTATGCCATATCAGGTAACATATGATACCACGGACTTCATTATATCTATCATCCATCTCACACAAGACATGTAACACTCTAGTCAACAAAACAAGACAGATTTTCCCACGTTCATTTGAAAAACAATCTCTAGTGAAAGAACCGCATTTTAATCTTCAGAATGGAGCAGCAATCAATTGGTCCCTTAAAAGAAGGGGTATTTACCAAAAAAGCAGTCAAAGAATCAGAACTAACAGAATGAGGGTGACTGTGCTGTGTGACTTTAGAGCAACGACATCGCATTTCTACGTTGCCAGCGTTCCTACTAATAAAACTAGCTACAAGTCACAAAAAGCTTTGCTTATTTCATTATGAAGTACAGCTCTTCCAAACAAATATTGTCAAGCCCATCAACTTGATGTACTCTGAACAAAACCACAACTGTGATGCTCTGATCTTCATTAACACTCGCTAAATCAGAAATAGGGCCCTTAGAGAGATTTACAGGAGTAGGCAACAACTTCACTAAGTTTTCTAGAGAAATGCCAGAGCAAAATGAGAGCATGAAGTTACAAACCTCTCTGCAAAAAGAAGGAAGACAAAGGATTAAAACGTATTTATTTAGAACTATAGGCAGGAGCCTTTAAGAGGAGACTTGGGCACAATCCCCACGTAATGTATTTTGGGAAATCAACTACCACAACCCCCACTGCCACAAATAATAGCTACTGCAAAAAGCCTTAAGGCATAAAGAAGGATGCTGAAACACTAAGCTGTAAACCTGATCAGGCATACTTCAGGGAAATCGACTCTCTGGTTACTAACTTATAGCAAGGTATCCGACATCTTCCATTTATCTGGGTTTGCTTAGGAGACTGGAACGTTGGTCAGTACTTTATCTGTATTCTTTCTGTACACAATCTCTCTCATAGAAGGGTTTAAAAAAATCTGTTTAAAATTTTGCTTTTGTACATAACATTCACATCAAATTAAGTTATTTTCTTTGTACACAAGGCTATGCAGGTCACGTAGTCAGCAACAATGACCTTTGATGCACAAGCCACTGTAGCAAAGCATGGCATTATTGTTGTGATCTCATGTGGCTTTCATGAGGAGGGAAACACTACTACTATAAAGACAGTCCCTACACTTCCTCTTTGGAAATGAAAGCAATGGAAAAATCAAAAAAGCTGCCAAAACCACATGTGATACTTAGAGGGAATCATGAAGGACTGTGTCCATCTCAAGCTGCCTGCTCCAGAAGTGTAGCCCTAAAGCCAAGCACAGTGCCTCCCCACTCATCAATTTTCTCTTCTCAAATAAGGACACAAGCACCGTGGAGTGGGAAGCCTGCTGCCGATTTGGGATGTGCAACACAGAGAGCAGAGAAACTGCTTGTATCAGTCAGGTAGAACGGAAACATTTTCACCGTAAGAGCTCCTCTGAAATTTTGATGACCTTTTCTTCCATGCTCAAACGGTTTGGTAAATGCTCCAAGCCTCATTTTCAACCCTGGAATAGAGAGACTATAACTTATTTTAAGAATAGTTCCTCCTTTTAAGGCAGTTGGAAGAAACTTTTCGAGCAGTATAAAGCAAGCTGTGCCTAAATTCCGAGGTTTTAATACCACAGAGAAACGTTATGTACACTAGAAAGTTTCATGATGAAAGAGCCATGCTCCCCTTAGACTTAGCTTGCCTTACAACTACTGCTTCTCTCATACAGTTTCCTTCCTGTTCTTCTAAACACAGAGAGCAGCCTTTTCTGTCTCTGTATTCAACTCCTGAGCTGCCCTTCCTGTCTCCTAGTGTCTAAAGACAAGTCAGTGCTTCATTTAAAGCTAAAAAATTGAAGACATTTTAAATAGCCTTACTAGATAGAAAGTTGGAGTTAACTTCCTACGCTACACAAAGTTAGCTTTTAAGTATCGTAACAAAAAGCTATGCATGGGATTCTGTACCCCCATTTATTAATTGGTTTGGGTTTGGTTTGAGGTTTGTTTGTTTGGTTTTTTTAAGTAGCTACTTAAACTGACTACTGTCTCTTTTTTAAGTGAAAAAAACAGATGGGACACCTACTGAGTAGTAAAGCCACACTCATAAAATACAAGTTGACTACTTTCTGAATTATGAAAGCTCTGGAAAAAAATATGAAGAATCATTGCTAAACTCTGTTCTACAGAAATTACATCAATGTCTAATTGAAAACTCAGACTGTAATCTAGCGGCAAAGGCTCAAGCACTTGACCTTCCAACATTCAGTAAAACAGTCTGTAACACAGAGAAGCAAGCATTCCCCCAGCTGTTTCCATATAATCCACTGTGCTTTTCCAGATTAGATTGCTATTTCAAGGCTTTAAATTTTTAATTAAAAGTTATTTATTGCACACAATTTTATTTGAGGAGTAACAATCCCTCCTTTATACTACACTTTGTTTTCTTCCAAAGAGTATGTTAACACTGCGTATTCCCAAGCCGTTAACAGTTCATGGTAGGTTTTAGCACATCACTTGGCTGTTCAGAAGGTAATTAGACAGCTTGACCAGAAATCGTAGCACACCAGAAAATACTGATATGACATCTTGGCTGTAACTGACTGCTGACAGGCAGGAATAAGACATGCCTGTTTTTCAACTAGATGAAGGCTGGAATTGCTAAGAAGTACAACAACTTCTGCCAGATATTTTGAAATCTAACTTTTTGGCCAGAGTAAACAAGATTTGTACAAGGATTATGAGATAAACTACATATTTGTGCTAACTAACAGAATGTTGCTTCATTTTCTAGACAAATAAGCATATATTTACATAGTGCTTTACACGAGATCCTTGGCTTAAAACCACATAAGCTTCAGTTAGCTTTTCTATACGTAAACCAAGGTGATTCCGTTTTTACCAGCAACACAGAGCTGTATGTTGGTTATTTATAAAATACACACAAAGGATTCTTAAGAACAGAGCGCTTTCTAGAACTGAAGTGTCCCATACTCCACCTTGAGCATTCGTATCTGTAGGTCACTCAGACACACTGGAGATAACAGACTGAGGACAAAGTCAAACATACTTCAGATGTTTGGAGTTAAACAAGGGATTGAGGAGAAGCACAAGCTGCTTTTATAAAAGGGCAAATGCTATCTTAAAAACCAAACAAACACATTTTTAAGTCCTTTTCAAAGTGCCAGACAGCAAATTAAACTTCCCAATTACTAAAAGTAAGATTAAAAAAACCCCACTGCTTTCATTTTTTTCTGTATATCATATATGCAAATCTAGTATGGGTTCGTACATTATGAAAACAAGAACACACTAGGATTTTTAGTAGGGCTGTCAGCTTTATTAGTGCCTCTTCCAAAACAGGAGATCTCAAAGAATCGATTCACACATATTAAGTATCAGAATTAAGCCATTTTAGCTCTTCTAGCTAATACCCACACAACAGTCTTCTGAAACCTTCCACTCCTAACATGAATAAATCTTTCTTACAATATAAAATTCACACAATCCTATGTGAGCACAGTCCTAGGAAACCTGCCTTGCAAGACTAACTAGCACAGACCTATATTCCCTTTGCCATAGTCATCCTTTGACAGGGACAGAGGACAAACATCTAAAGACATGTAACTTACTTTGGTGAAAAGGAATCTTATGAAGCATCTGGAGCTCCTAGATATTCAGAACAGGGACCAGTAACTACCAGCCATCTAAATAATGTTACATTTTCTGCTCTGTTGCAGCTGAAGCTTAACCAGAGAGGCTGTAAATAGGAATACACTCGGGCAAACGTAAGTATTTAGCCGCCCAAGGCCACAAAAATTTACTGAAACATCTGGTTTAAAAACAACAACAACAAAAGGAAATGTACTTACTGCATGTGTGTAACAGTTAGCAGCGTGTTCATAGCAAGTGGGTTTGTAGCGGCTGTTTGCTGGAGCTGGGTGGTTCATGAACCTGTTGAATAATTAAGAAGTATTTTTAGGAAAGCTAATAAATCATCTCTTTGGAGTGTCATGAAGGAATACTTCCAACCTAGCAGTGTTAAAATTATATGTACAGACATGTTAAAAGTAACTGTTACTTAAATTTTAAGTTCTCTTAACAGAAACACATTAAATAAGTTTCTGTGAGTGCCTATCACAGTGCATGGTTGTCTTTAATCAAGACTTTGCATACAGAAGTCAGACCCCCTCTTTTCCGACAGCTTGGTCAGATGAAGAATGAACTATTTCCTATTTAAATTACACAATATGGACTCAGATGGCTCTTGAAATACGGACTTCATCATAACTGCCAAGGGTTACTCTCCTTTTAAGAAGTTCTTGGAAGTGTAGCAATATTCCACTTCTATAACACCCTGGAATAAACCAATTTGGACATTGCCTTTTCAATTCCTAGAGCAAGCAATATTTGCATTTGGAGCGTTAGCTGGTTCAGGTTTTTCTTCGAGGTTTTTTCTTCCTCTGTTTGTAACTGAGACTCAGGCTACACAGGGATGACAGAAGACTCTAATAGTTAACTCTGAAGAGGAAAAATTTCAAGAGGCTTACCATACACGTTCCACCTTTTTCTGTAAGATTTTGCTAACATTACCTAACAAATAAATAATCACACCAAACAGAGCCTATGCAAGTCAAACCAAGTATGATGAAAACTTAAGAGAGTTATGGAAGAACTTGCCAACACAAACGTTGCATTTAACTATTCTAAAAAAAACACCACTTGAGTTGTTTCTGTGAAACCACACTATTTAAATCTGTGTATAAACCCCTCTAAAAGACAGCAGGCATTTATATGCAACCAGTCAAAAGCTATGAACTACTCGAGCTATGGGACCGTGTATGTTATCCCACCACAGTCTACTATCTTACAAAAGTGATTCTCTTTCACTAATAAATTCCAGTTTACTCCAGACTATTATAAAACTATGCACTGACAATTAGTCAGGCATCCAACAAGCCAGGAACAGTTTCACAACAAATACAGAACATGTCTGTATGTTCAGAACTGAGAGCAGCTTTGTTAGCTGGATTTATATAAAGAGCATGTTAGACGAACTTTGGTCCTCCCCCATGGCCCTCCTGGTTTAAGTCAAAACCAGTCCTAGTTTTATGACATCTATAAAATACTGGCCGATCTAAAACCAGGGAAAAACAACCAACCAAAGAATCCCAACCAAAATCTTATAGTTTGAGTAAGCAGTTGCCAATTTCTGGGATACAAGACACTTGGTTTACAAATCACTCAATAACTCAGTCAAGAAAAGCATTTTTTTCTAAACTGACACACAATAATTTAACAGCATTGATAAAAATAACTGTGTAATGATCTCTCTCTAAACTGTGGCAATTTCAAAAAACTGAAACTGATCAACTGAAACTAATTTCAACTGCTACTAACACAAAGGATAAGAAAAATGTGAATTTCATTCACAGATGCCAAGTATAAATGGTTGCTAGCAAACGAATAATTCCATAGAAGTTCATACATCATTAAAAAATGGCAGTTCTTTTGCCAGTGACAAATGACACCTTGCTCTCATCTCCCACTAGGATAATGACATCGTAGTCATACACACAGGCTCGCAGAATATTCGGAAAATGATTTTGTTGCTCAGTGTGTACAGGTCTTCAACAGCTGCTGAAGACCATCTCAGCATCCTCTACAGATGGAACACTCGGTTTACTCAGTTCTGCTTCCAAGTTAGGAAAACATTTAAAAATAAAAGCATCTGTTGGCTCTGTTGAGTGTCCAGGATTAGAGTGCCCTTGCCTAACTCCATAAATTCAAGGTCATGGGAAACCTTTCACTGATTGCATCTAGAATATTATTACATTTCTCCAAAGGCCATGCTGGTACCTTGGAAGTCTCACAAGAAGTAGGAAATAAAAAAACCAAACTAAACCCAAAACTGAAGAACCCAAAGGACTACGCTTATCCTCAGTATTAGTTTTATAATTTGTTATTCCAAATTTCTATACAAGATATTACCATCATCTAAAAATCTATAAATAATTGAAGGTGGCCTGCTAATGGGACCTTCTATTATCTGTTCGAGGACTACTTTTTTTCTTCCTCCTTTCCATTTATATTCATTTAGTAGAAAAGATACTGAATCTTTCTAAAGCAGTCACAACAGTGTGGGGAAATGTTAGATTTCAGACAGAATTATGAACAAACACTTCAGAAAAGTCCATTTATTATTAGGACCTCTTACTCTCAGTAATTTAAAGACTGTTATTAGCAGTAAAACAGAACATAAAGACATCAGCAAAGTTATTCTTTGTCTGTTATCTCCACAAAGGGTTGGGTTTTTTTCTTGTTTGTGCCAGCACAGGAACAATACAAATATTGTTTCATCTATAGGGTATCTTTAGGCTGGCAAAACAGACAAGTATCAGGTTTCAGAAAGCTTCACACTTACAAAACACTTCAAACTTTTTTTTTTTATAAATACTTCAATTACTTAATTTAAAACAACAACAAAAATGGTTAGTAAAAGCACTGTTGAACAAGAGGCTTTACTGGACTCCCACAACAGCTGAAACTTGCTTTTCTTCCACCAGAGAGAGTTCCAGCAGAACACCCCTATTAGCAACACGGTACCTACCCCCTTCACCTACATGTTCATACTAACACCACCACCACCAGTGTGTTTTGGCAGAGGAGGAAGAGTTAAGACTTGACCTCTACCTTAAAGAAAAGAATCTCGAAGCACCCCAGCACCTAACTTTGCCGTACATTTGACATACCTGCACCTCTCCTTTCTGCAAGGTATCAACTGCAACGGGCTCCAAGACCCAGACAGCAAATGCTGCAGCATGTTTCCCCAGGTCAGTTATTTCCCTATGCCCTTTTATCATACCATTTATAAACATTACCAGGAACAACTTTAGAGGAAGGATCATTTGAAAAGTGGTTGAATAGAGCAATAATTCCAGCCAATGCTTCTCCTGAGTTTGTTTCATCTCCAGTTTGACAGTTTGTGTTTAATGCCTTAAGAAACAGACATAGTTTGAAAATAGCCACTTTGGTAAACTACACTGAAGTACTCATCAAAACCAGGAAAAATGATTTTGATGCATACTGGTAAAAAAAGTCAGTCATACACACATGATGTTGCAATACAAAGGCAGAAGAATTTGGTTGCAGACTTACACTCTAGAGGCAAAAATCGTTCTGTTCTTTCTTAAAGATAAATAAATAAATAACCCCACACCACCACCAGATGCTTCTTGTTTTCTGCCACATGAATACTGCAACACAGGGCCATTGTTTGTTCTCCTATCTCCAGGTCAAGTTTGCCTTTTCTGAAAAAGATAATTGTGAGGAATATAATCTCACCTTCCTAAAACTGGAAACTTGATATACAGCATTCAGATGCTGTTTACTCCTAAATAAAGGCTCTCCATAACACAACCATTAAGGTTATTATCAAATGCAAGACAGTGAATACGTTCCTCTGAACTGGACTACGATTTACAGGAAACATATTTAAGTGAAGTGTTTTGATTCTCTAACAAATCTCTAATGTCTTCTTTAATAGGAGCTGTAGTGAAATCGGAGTCATTTAGTCAAGGGATATGCAGCATCCTCTCACAAGAACACATAAACCCTTGTCCATTTGAGATACTGACAATCCAAGATCTCCAATATAAAATATTAACTCATTCAATATCAGAATGTGAAATTTCTGAAATTAACAGGCTACTAATTACTTGCAGCCAGCCATGAGAGCAGAATGCTTTTGCACTGAACTGAGTTGAGTTCATCTTCACAATTTAAATGCACTCTTAAAGCTCAAGAACTACCTGAGGCCAAGGAAGTCCAAGCTTCGTAATTTCACAGCACGCAAACAACTTTCTCTGATGAACACATTCCCAACACAAATGGAAAAGGGCTATTGAAAAAAACATACGACAATTTTTTTTTAAAAAAAGAGATAAGGAACTCATACTCTTCCCTTTACGCTACTTGAACTTTGATCTTGAAACACTTCAAATATTTAAAATTTTAAACAAATAGACTAATCTATTCTTTGTGAGAGACCCCTGGTCTCAAGTTCCTATTCATTTTCAAGGCATAGATGCTATATGTTTCGCAGTGATACCAGAATTAAGAGATCATAGTATCTGTAGAAGAAAGGAGGAAGAAAATCTGAGGGCTCTTAATGCTTTGTCTTTGCATGCAAACCCAACGTAGAAAAAGAAATTACAAAATCCCAAATCTACGCATGCATCTGCATGGCACTTGTCTAATATCACAGCAAGTTTATACCCCAAAGTGCAGAAAAGAAAAGCGCTTTTCAAATCTTGCCTTACTCTTGATTCCCATCTGTGGAATTAATTATTCTTTCAAGCATGAGGTAAAATGTCAGTAAAAACAGCAAGCACTGATAATAGCCTCAAAGATCTGGATTTTTTTAGTCTTTTCAGGAAGTACATTTCCTTTATTCATCTCAAAAGGCCTCATACTTCCTTTTACCAGCTTAAAAGCACATTACTCCTTTCTGTATATTTTTTTCTTGTGCTTTCCAGCAGGAAGAGAGGCCATTTAGACCTAATAAGCCACAAATAACAGCATATGAGAAACTGCAACAAGGTGGGGATAACTCCACACAAACTGCAGTAGCATACATTAAAGGGGGTTACACATTTAGATACTGAAGCGATTTTTATGTTATCTAGGCTCTTTGTTTTTGAGAGGTAAACCAAAAACAAACAAAAAAAATCACAAGCAGGTCAAAATAGATCAGCACTACATTTTCATGATGATCACTTAGGCAAGATTTAGAAGAGAAACAAACAGGTTTATAAAAAGCTTGGGTTTTTTAACCAAATTGCCATATATTTCCTCTTTATGAATTCAGTTAAAAATAGAGCCATATTCCTCTGGACTAGGCATCTTCCTTCCTGGATTAGAAAATACCTACTTGTGGTTTGTAACTGTTCACG